CTCGAGGCACTCTGGATTAATTCCAGAAATTCGAAAATGAACCGCAGGGAAGAATGCCTCATTATCACGCGTGATATAGGGCAGTATATAAAACTGTTTTTCTGATGTGAGGGGCACATTATACTTACACGTGATTTCTGTGCGGTTGGTCTCTACGTGACATACTTAGTGGAGACCTCATAGAAAGCGGTGAGTGTGCAAAGCTGTGTTCAAAGTGATTGAAATCTTGGTTTGGGGTTTCTTTGTTTGGTTATGGAGGCGTCTGGCCGAGTGAGTTGCTATCAACTTGACCTTTCCAGGCTCTGAAGAAGGCGAAATTCGCCGAAACGTCAGCTTATTCGTGAACAAAGAATAGTAACACCTCGCGTTTGCTCAACAAAAATACGAAGAAAATCACTTGATCAATGCCGAGGTTAATAGAAAGTCGGTCGTGGCAGTTATCTGAGGAAGACCTCAGCGAATAAACCACTTCTAAATGCCTTTGGAATGCTCGTTGTACTTTGAGCTTCGAAGTGTTAAGCTTCTGAAACAAATGAATTTGTGTAAAAATTGTATTTTCGAAATCTTTTGTTACTGGAGTTTCCTATTTTATTGGATAAGATTGTGTATTTTATCTGAGTTATTACATTTTAAGGTGTCTGTCCAATGTCGGCTATTATTTTTTCTCCAGCTATAGTTTTAATGATGGCAAGGACAGAATTAATAATGATATATAGTAGTTGTGGTTCACATCTGCTGTATCATTTTTCGTATTCCTAGGCAAAAATCCATGGAACCCTCGAGGGACCACTCAAAGTCGTCCTCGACAAAGCGTTCGGAGAGCAATTCAAAAACGTACGTTTCTTCATTGAAACGAATTACGAAAATTAAAGGCTCCTGTGATGTTTTCACCACGATTCCAGGTCTTCTAAAGTCGATGGTCATGTAAAGAAGTCGCGAGGAGGTACGCTGGGAACTGAATCAAATAGTGCTAATGTTTCGAAGGTGCGCACTAAAACCGTATTTTGGATCCTACTGTATCATACTGTAGAGATTTTCTCTTTGAATGTGGTGTTGTATATCAACAATGAAAATTGTTGAAGGAGAAGCATAAGCACTCGAAGTTAAAAGGAGAAAAGAGGCGTGTTCGAACACCAGAAGAGTCAGCAGAAGTTACGAAGAGTCAGTTAGTAGACACTGAAAGTTACGAATACGTTGATGATTTTGAATATGAGGTACTTTTGTTTCCTTTTCTTAGTTACTAATGAATTTTTTATGGAATAGATAACCTCGCTAATCATACATTATGTGATTTTTTTTCGTCATGTTTCCCCAATTCGAAACTCATTTTTTCATTCCTCTTATTAGTTAGAACTAGCTGAGAGACAGGCGAAACGAAGGACTGGTATGGTGTGGTGGTAAACGCGTAAGCCCACTGAAAGGGTACTAGCGCGTTCGTTCCTCACCGTAGACACCTGTGGTCTGGAGTTTTGCAAATATCTCAGCATCGTTGTGCTTGTATTTCTCATAATACCCTGCCGTAAAAATTGTAGTAGGAAGAAAATAAAAGGTAAGTATTTTCCTACTAGTTATATTCCTGTACATGTGTGATCGTTTCCTTCAAACGTTGCATGCTTAACATAAGTACTGAAGTGCTATCGAGGACTGAAATGTCTTTGATGAATACGTAACACGAAAGACCGACTTTCTATGAACCTCGGCATAGATAGTTGATATATTTATTTATGTGATCTTATAAACTGATCTTCTTAAGCTGACACGAGGTTGTTACAGATCTTCGTTGTCGTTGTCGTTGTTTTTGATGTCATTGATCGATGTTTGGCGTTTCGGCGACTTCGCCTTCCTCAGAGCTTGGACGTATTTTATGTTAGAATACTTTTTATTATTCGGTGGAAAAGAAGGTTAAAGTATTAATGAAGATCAAACTTTCAAATAGACGCCATATTGAACAGAAAGGTCACTCACCGTGATGTTATGTGCGGGACTGGCCGACACGTAGTTTACGCGAGCAAGACACACCCCGGGGTCAAAATATCATTTTGAAATAGGGCGCCAGGTCACGCGTGATAGTGAGGCATTCGTCCCTCCGGTTCATCTTTGGATTTTTGAAATTTATCGAAAACGCCTCAAGAGTTTTGCGCGTTGATGTTTTTGATTCCTGCGCTAGGATCCTCACATTCACTTCAAAATCAACGCCATTGTGCATTTGTGCCCTATGCGTACCTAGAGGGGTGTTTATACGAATTTTAGCTTTTCCATCTAGATGTTCTTTTATGCGGACACAAAGTGGTCTACCCGTTTCCCCGATATATTCCTCGCCGCATGCATTACATGAGATCAAGTATATCTGAACTCATGTAATCCCCCTCTCTCCCGTTAGGACAGATCATACAGTTTTCTGAGCTGCACAAACGATCATAGAGACGGTTTCGAACTAACTGGCGGTGTAGGGTATTGGGTGGGATGTCAATAATCGCTACCTAATTTTCATGACCATTTTTTCTTAAGCACTTTTTAATGGCGTGACTTACTTCATTTACTTCATGAATGACGCGTGACCTTGCCCCCCATTTCAAAATGATATTTTGACCACAGGGTGCGTCTTGGTCGCGATCGCACGTTGCAACGCGTGGGCCAGTCCGTCCTACACGCAACATCACGGTGAGCGGCCTTTCTGTTCAATATGGCGTCTATTTAAAGGTTTGATCTTCATTAATACTTTAACCTTCTTTTCCACCGAATAATAAAAAGTATTCTAACACAAAGTACGTCCAGGCTCTGAGGAAGGCGAAGTCGCCGAAACGTCAGCCATCGATCAATAACATCAAAAACAACGACAACGAAGATCTGTACCAACCTCGCGTCAGCTTAGGAAGATCAGTTTATAAGATCACATAAATAAATGAATGCGTAACAATATTGACGTTGGTATGTCGCGGCTATATTCCTCACATTCAGCCGAAACTCTGCAGTTGAGTGAATAGGAAATGTATACGTGCTTACGAATCACTTTAAACAACTATGCTCTTTGTTTACTCTTTGAGAGCCCAGAAAGCCATCCGTAATTGTATGTATAACTCGTCAGAGCTCACCAAGTTTTCTGTGCATATCAGTTCTTAAAAATAATAGAAATAATAGGTTACTAAGCGAAATACAACCACAACGTTGCTGAGATATTTGCAAAACTCTGGACCGCAGGTGTCTATGGTGGGGAACGAACGCGCCATTATCCTTTCCGGAGAGTAACGCGTTCACCACCACACTATACGGGTCCTTCGTTTCGCCTGTCTCTCAGCTATTTCTATCGATTTTTTTGCCACGGCAATCACCCGTCAGCGGGGTTGATCTGGGGAGCGCAAATCGGCATAGAACCCAGTTAAGCTATGGCTGTAGTTGAAATCACAATGTTTGACATTTTGTTTTCTGCCTTCTATAATTTTCATGCTCCCCAGATCAACCCCGCTGACGGGTGATTGTCGTGGCAAAAAGATCGATAGAAATAGCTGAGAGACAGGCGAAACAAAGGACCCGCATGGTGTGGTGGTGAACGCGTTGCTCCCTGGAAAGGACAATAGCGCGTTCGTTCCCCACCATAGACACCTGCGGTTCAGAGTTTTTCAAATATCTCAGCAACGTTGTGGTTGTATTCCGCTTAGTAACCTGCAATGAAAAGGCAGAAAACAAAACGTTAAACAGAAATAATAGGTTTTACTCTGCTGACTTCGAAGGAGACCACCATGTGGCGGCTTCTAGCAATGTAACCACGATCAAACTGGCAAAGTCTTAGGGCAATTCAAGGCATCCGAAATATGAATGACTATAGTGACGATCTGCGCCTTGGACGCGGGGATCAACCGTGTTAGGGCGTATCCGACCGCTGCGTTACACACGAGGAAGCTTATGGTAACGGAAATAAATTCTTTCTTTGAAAATGTGATAAAGAAGGAGTCAGAGGCGTTGTTATCTTCACCAATGCACGACTAGACATGAATATAGTTAGACAACTAACGATCCAAATCAAATTATTATGGCAGAAAAGGTGGGGAGCAAATCTATGACCTTTTTCGTCGCTTACGTCCTAGTGTGAAATTAAGATGAATACAAGGTCGAGTTGTTCTGCTTGGGCTTGGAGAATTCCTCTTTTACCTTCTACAAGTTCTGCAAATTCGTCGAAACGATTGGATCCAAGCCGCACTGATGAGATCCTCTAATGAGACCCCTCTGACGAACTTCACATCATGGTGGAATAGAACGAGTAGGTTGAGAGGCCATCTGAGCTCATTAAGACAACCATGACAATTAACGAAAGCTCGCTGCTTGAGAAATCGTTATATTTGATGAGCACAACATAGTGAATTAGGGTCTTGTATAACCGATAGAGTAGAAGTAGAGAAAGAGTAAATATATATATATATCACAATATTCAACAACCGAAATCCTGAAACCGTCGTAATTTACAGTTTGTTCGCATCTTTAGTCCGTTACTCCATTTGTGGGAAAATGCCATTATAAACAATATTGTTGAAAAAAGGCAAAAGCTTATCCAGTGTTTTTGTAGCTACCTGAATCACGCACCCACCTATTGACCGTCGAACGAATGACTCTGGCGGGGTCCAGTGTGGTTTCCATTTGCCCTTTTCACATGTAAGAGCAACTCACTAGGTTCTGCGAGATCCACGGGTTCACTAAGATCATATCTCTCTTCTAGGGTCTTCATGAAGAATTTTGACCATTGGGTTGGTGGTCTTCCTGCTGTGCGCTTGATATCCTAAAGAATGCATTCGTTAACAGCCATCGATTATCGTTTAACTGCATTACATTTCCAGCCCGATTGGTCTTCGCTATCCTGTCCTGTACAACGGCGTCTCCGGTTTCCGACCGTTGACCTCCGATCCTCTCTCTCTGACGCACGTAGCATGGGACACTCTCAGGGTCGTCCTCTGAAACGCGCGCTTAATCGCGCCGCGTGGTCCTTCGTCTCGCTTATATGATCACTAAGTTTTCGAGGCGTAGGCATTGCAAATTGTAGCGTCGAAAAGATCTGTTCAGTTAAGTGTTCTCTGTCCTCTTCACTACATCCTCGTTGTCCAGCTGCCAGAATATCGTGTCAATTGCCACAGAAATGTCTCCCTAATAGTTCCCCTTTCACATGTTCGACATGCTGTTCCGTGGGTAAGAACACCCAGTTCAGACAGAATAGACCCAAACATTTGAAGCTACCTGAAGCTTAACGCCAGTTTTCATTAATGCAGTGACTCGTCTTTCGTTTTTCACGTTAAAGGACAAAAAGATAGAGCTTTCGACGTTTATCAGTCTCTAGAGGGTGTGCCATGCACTGATGACCCATAACTTCAAGAACCGCCGTAGAGATCTTGGCCTTCTGGCCTATACAACTCAGTGGCCCACCGATGTATTAAGTTGGTGTTTTTATCTTTCCAGACAAATGCAGCACCAATGTGCTGACCCAGGAGGAATGAAATGCATAGGGAGTCCTGATCGCAGAATCGAATCAGCGATCGATCCAGTAGGTATTACAGCGCAGTTCTAACCACTGCGCTACACGTGCGCCTTTTCCACCTTACCTGTGGAAATCGAAGTTTCTCGGCCGGTGGAACAAGAGTATTTTTGCACAAGAAGAGAAACTTACATGGCCTCATAAATTGTTTTCTAATCTGCCTATTGTTTACCGTTCGTCTATGAACTTTAACTCTCTAATCCTCAACAAAGTTGATGGCATACTGAACGAAGTACAGCCACACGACCAAGCAGGATTTCGTAAATGTCCCAGAACGAGAGACTATATCTTCGCGATAACGTAATTCATTGAGTTGTACATATATGCTTTGAACTTAAACTTGAGCGCGTAGAGCTCAGTGGTCGGTCATGATGCAATATACATGTAGTCGTTGGTTCGTATCATGCCTTGTACGCTAATATGCACTGAATGAACTTCACGATATTTAACGAAGTCGAATCTATGGCGTACTACTAAAAATTTCATCAACTTTGGATATTTTATACCTTATTTCGTTACCCTGTTGTAGCACCGCTATATCGTTTTGAGGTTTTCACTAGAGGTACCCGCCTTTCTGGATCGGAACGCGCTTTTTCCAAACAAGTCTGCTACTACTTTGTCGATCTCGAAGGGATGGCGGAATGATTGGTCTTGTGTGAGATAAAGCCAGCAACATTTTCTGAAGTACACAGCATCTTATAACCACTGCGCTTCTCGCACACTGATCTTATATAAAAATCTCATGAAAACAGAGACTTCTCTAATATTTTCGTCACAAGAACACTAGCTTTGTATTCACATGGAAATTGGTAATAACATTTTCACTAGGATGAGTTTGAAGATGAAGATGGCGTTGACGAAAACAGCAAGTTCACCCATGGAAAGATTGACGAAACTTCTAGTAATGGAATCCTACCCGTTGTGCCGTCACTTGAGCAAGTACATCCTGGTACAGAAAAACCCAAGGTTTATTTATCACCAAGGAGATTGGTAAGTAATCACAACAATGCTTCCATGTAGGCTTAAGTGGCTTACAATTTTTGCTTTCCTTTATCGCTTCCTTAATCTCTCCACTCCCTTTTCCAGAGTAAGAGTTCGACGGGTGTGGCTGAACCGATTGTAGAGGATACACCTCTCATAAGGAGGTTAGCATCCCGTCAAGAGGGTCGGACACTGACTCAGTCACCACCAGTCAAACCTGTTGCATCTGAAAAAAAGGTACCAATGGATTGATACTTGTTATCATTTACAAAACGTGATGTTAAAGCTATTTATGAAATTAGTTATTAATTATTTATATGGCTCAATTTCACTTGTTATGAGGATACCAGAATTTCTTTCATTCGATTCGTTACCGTTCATCCATCACTTAAGGTCTTCGGATTTGCGCGCGAGTTCGACATCTGTTTCGCGTCCTATTTATGAAATTTGTTGAGTACTGGTTGAGTGGATTCTTCTTCGAATCCTAAAATAACCGGGTTGATTCGTTGCCACGTCTGCATCACAAGCACTCAGCCACTTTTGCTGATCGGATGGAGCTTTTCAGAACATGGGGTGAACTGGGAGAAAGGCAAAACATGGACGTCGGTTGGTAGAGTGGACAACGTGTGATTCTCCGAAAAGGGTAATCGCTGGTTCCAAGTTCAGTTGTAGTTCCAAGTTCTTCTTGCACCTCACCATCATTGTGGTTGCATCTCATTATTGTATCTGGTGTATCTATAATACCTTACCATGAAAAAATAACAAACATTAAATGAAAGTTAAACATTGTGATTTCATTTGCAACTTCAGCATAAATGGGTTCGATGCTGATTTGTGCTTCCCAGATCACTTCCGTTTATGGGTTATCGCTTACAGCAACGCTAGAGTTAAAAAAAGGAGTTAACTAATGCTAAATTTGCCTACTTCTGTTGTTAATAAGCTCTTTAACCTCGAAACTCCAATCTAACTTACTTCAAAAATGTTCAAGAAAACGGGACATTGCCTTATCTCTCTTTTTTCTCGTAAAAAGGCTTTCGACTCAGATGAGACAGAATTGCTCATGAAAGTTCTGGACAACTATGGAGTTCCTGCTCATTGTGCCAAGAACTTTGTTGAGTCTCACAACAATTCTTCGTCAAATTTCACCAATCTTCAACGAATCACTCGTCAACGTGTAATGAGAGATCTTATAGGAAAATACTATCACTTAAAATTAAAAGGCGTCACTGCCGAAGACATCTTGCGATAACCGTTATAAGATAACATGAAGATGAAACTCGCTGACAGTTAGCTAAACCTTCTTTTTTTTGTTTATGACACCATTATTTTAAGCATTAGCGATGTAGGATAAATGTTCTCCCACAGTACATGCAGAGTGATCACTCATTGAAGGTTCATCAGGAACATATTCCTTCCTGGTGTTCAACTCGCACTGAACAAAAGAAACATTTCGCAACAATCTAGTTATGTTTACCTGGATTGATAAGTCAACGAGATGAAGGACGTAGTTCCAGAGGTGATCAAGAGAAATTGACTGCCTCCAATAATTTAAGAAAGTGAGAGGAAGTACTGATGAAACAGAACTGAAGCTTAGTCTGCCTTATCGAGCAAACTACTCAAAGGGTGCTACTAGGCGCACGATGTATGATGTATCACGAAATTGAAAGATGGAATCCAAAGATGCGAGCTACGTTGACCACTACAGACCAGATCCACTGTTGCATACTCGACGATGTTGAAAATAATCTGCAGCTGATGTGAGTTTCGTCTCAATGACCTGCTGCCAGAAGAACCGTTGACTTGACGATTATGGCACGGATGCAAACTGCTCGCAGTTAGTGGCCAGAACGATTTAGGAAGGGTCTGTACAAAGCTGCAACGTGCTTTTTGCGTGAGCGACCGGAGTCTCTTGAGCAGCTGTGACTCACAACAGGGAAAATTGCGGGATTAACTTGGCACGAGCTGACACTTAACTATCGAAATGGTGGTTTAGGTGATGAAATCGTAGGTGCTTCATCATTCAAATTAGAACGATCGTTTACTTTTACCTGTTTTTCTCTTGGGACAGGTGTCACGAATCGCCTCGGCTACATCCAGAATTGACTTCACAAGCACATCTGATCTGAACCGTAGCGCTGTCGCCCAAGCCGATGAACGTTTTAGAAAGCTGAATAGCCTGATCAGTGAGTTCGATCAGGATTTCTTCGCTTAGTAGTGACCTCAAATATAATTAATATAGCAACTTCTATAGAATTCTCTACCGTATTTATCAAAAACGGACGAAAAATCACTTATCTATCTGCCTTTCCCTTACTTTATTTCGTCGAAATGTTTTATGCTTTCAATTTTAGTGATTGAACACGTTACGTATACAATTGTGGACCAACCGCCTGTTAAGGACTACGATTTTTATATGGAGTTATTTGGAAAATCAGGGAGGAGTTTGGTGAGATTTTAGCATTTGTTTTCTAATGCTCCAAATTAGGCAGAATATAGTTTAGTCCAATAAATAAAAGCTGTTTATATAAAAATACGTTTATACTATACATACTGTGTTATTATATATTATGTTATTATTACATACTAATATTACAAACGTTATTTGCTGCTATTTCTTATTATTAGTACTATAGTATTACAAAGGCGTAGTGGTCGGAGGGCCCTGGAACACACACGTGGAATCGATCCCCGCGCCCATGGCCCATCAAGCCTTCCATCCCTTCGGAGTCGGCAGATTGGTACCAGACTTGTCTGGGAGGAGCGCAGCACTGTCCCGATACATCGGTAGGCTACCTCGAGTCATTGTATAGGCCAGATATGCATTCAATCATCTCTAAACGATGCTTGATGAAGTCGAATGCATGGCGTATCCCTCAGGAATTGATCAACGCTGAGAGCTTTATCCTTTTTTAATTATAGTATTACACTATCTTGTCATATTATGTTGTCGCATCATATGTTATTTTTATTTTATCATTGGGAAGGGATAGCACAGTGGTTAGTGATGCCGTTGATCAGGAACTAAAGGTGTTAGTTAGACCCCTCCTCAACGCTCTCCCGCAATCCACGTGGGAACGTCCTAGCTCGGCTATCTCAGAGATTGCAAGGAGAATCTACTCGACCAGTATTCTGCGACAGTCATAAAAAAAACGAAATCCTCAGGCGAAAGCAGCAGCCGAAACAACATGCAAAATATCCGAAGACCTTTGTGGACGATGAATACGAGGAAAACGAATCGAATGCTAGAAGTGCTGTGATCCGCGCAGTAGGTGTGATGACTGGTCGTGTAAAATAAATAAAAAGCCTTATATATAATACATGTTGTTAAAGTTGTTTATAACATTTTTAGTCAGATTTAGTTGTCAACACAAACCGGCGATGACAATTTGAACGAGGAAACTCAGACGGAGGAGACGACGAGTGCAATAAAATGGACTCAGCATCCTCCTCGTGTTCGTGGGTTCAAATATCTACTCACATTTTCTACTTTCTTTGTCATTTGTGGCGAAAATGACAGACCCGAATTAAATTAGTGTTATCCGATTAAGCGTCCTTTCCATTTTCCTGTCTTTTTTTCATTTCAGCGGGTTCCAATCGAATTTATTTCACCGAATGTCCTCTTTCGTGCAAATGTAACCATTTCGTTTCCATGCTGTCAATTGTCGCGTGGCCACATCGCGATGTGATGCTCATATGGGGTCTGACAACAACAATTTGTTTACTTGGAGCAACAGATAAGTTCAAGAAGTGAAGCTCTTCTCCATATACAGCGGTCAATACTTCCACGAAGCATTTAAGGCCAGCTGAATAGTCGTTGTCGAAAGCCAACATCCGGTTGTATCTGTACCCGGCAATCGTCTGTGATATGTGGTCTACGTTGCTTTCGAGTAACAACTCTCTAATGGGAGACTCCCAAGTCCAGTGTTAAGAATGGGGCTACTGGAACTGCGAGTTACCAATGAGTGGTCTTGGCCGTAGTGATAAACTCACAGACAACCACTCATCCTACTCGTTCAATTCTAATCCGTGGGTCCCAATGTGACCTTCTTCACACGTTCTGAGTGCGATCTCAGCATCGAAATCTCCAATGACGACCTTGAAGAATACACGGTCTTCTCTGTGGAACTTCACCAAGTCCACATAGAATGCTTCGACTTCTTCTCCGTCATTATTTAACGACATAAACGTGGATAAACGACAGAGGTTGTTAAAGTCAGTATTGATCCAAATCCCACTAATCGTTAACGTCTGATTAGGGCCGTTAATTGTTCGAATGAATTTATGTTCGTGGACAAACTCGTGTTGACGAGTACGCCGACGCCGCGGACTCCTCTACTGTCGCATCTTCCGATGAACAATTCTTCTCCGATGTCATAGACAGCGTTGAATGGGTGGCGTCTTCTCGTCTCGGCCAGCCGGATGACATCGTACACTGTGCTTCTTGCCTGCATGATCAAGCTCTCTATCGAGGACTCAGATGCAAGTGAGCATGCATTGTAGGTACAGATCTCTGCACTTGTACCATTTAACGCTGCGGTACCAAGGGCTCTTGCGCGGTCTGGAGGACTTATTTTACCTTAGTTAGCGTTTGATACCCACATATAGCTTGCTTAGCTGTGAACTTAGAGGTTGAATATACTCACGACTAACTTGCTAATCTTTCCCAGAATAGACAGAGAAGCTCGTTATTAGAGGTTACTCTTAACCGCCTCCCATATACTTCACTTGATTAAAGGTTTTTGGTCGAACTGACTCCTAGAATATAATCCGCATAAACCAGAACACACCAAGCACGCATGCATGGATACGTCCACGTAAATACGGAACGTGTGTAGCAAATCGGCACAGCAAAAACAAGGAGTTCATCCACTGTATCCACCTGCGTCTCGAGGAAGTGTAATGTCGCGCACTAAATTGCGTAACAACTAATCGGCATGAGATCCTTCCATCACGATGACCCGAGGTTACGGTAAAACTCTTATTCGGCTAATGTTTCGGTGCCTTCGGCTTTCTCAGAGCCACGTTGATCCCAGTCGAAGGTCCACAGCTGGTCGTTGTCGCCATGTGGATGTTCGTTGTCGCATCGAGTAGAACCCAGTGGAGTGAGCACTGCTCGAGCAGTTGACTTGACTCGGCGGTCCCTCTTTTATCCAGAACGGGTGCTGATCGATTGCCTTGTGCGATCTACTTTGGGCGGCAATACGTCGTGTAGCAGTCGGTACCTCGTTTGTTTGCACGTCGCGTGGCAATATGATAAAAACGACAATCATCAAAACTCGGTGACAAGGGGTTTTAAGGTTACGCAGATTTGATGAGCGTCGGTTTTAAGATGAAATGACATCTTTTTTTCCTTTCTTATTAACTCAGTTCATTTTCACTTTTGTTTCCCATTATATATTCCATCCAATCTCGCCTTGTTCACGTTTATCCTACTTTGCCCTTCTTAAATCTGAAACGTTTTTTTCCACTTACTAACCTTTGGAGATTTTTTGGCATAATATCAGAAAAATTCCATATGTATGTATGCGAGTACTGCAATGATAGTGATTTCTTTCACTACACAGACGGCCCATCCTACCTAAAGGTAGGTTCGACCCCGCTTCGAGTTGACCTAGCCCGTCATCCTTTAGAGGCCGGAAATTTGTCGCAGACATTTTTGCGACGAACTCTTTTCCTCCGATTATCACGAGAATGCCCAAGCACGGCTATCTCAGTATTTTATGGATATTCGGCTGCACAGCATCCAGTGACATTCGTGACCAAGATGAAAGAAGTCTTGAAGCAATAGTCGAAGTCACGCGCAAAAAAAAAGATCTTTTGTGGGTGGTGAATGGAAGGAGACATATCGAATCGAAAAAGTGCTGGGATCCGCAGGATCTGCGATCCATGTGATGCCGGATCATGCAATACACAATAAATAGGATTTAAGCAGCCTTGAAATGTCAAAGGTATGCAGAATTTTTCGAGCTCGACATATCGCAATAATTTGTTGAGCGTGAGAAAATTTTTAACGCTAGATTTCAAGTGTTCTTCAAGTGTTCTAACAATGGTTTTCTACCTCTTCATGGCTGGGGAATGTTCCAGGTTGTCGGAATGGGATTTGAAACCTGGGATTCTTCATACATCCGGTTTTTACCATCTGAGTATTCGGACAATTTCATCTGGGAGCCCTGCTAAACGTAACTGAATGCCTGCCTGGTGTCACAGCGGTCCCTGTAGCAATATAGTCAAAAGGTTGCAAATCCCCATCCGAGCCATAGCCTTTGATGGCAATATGAAGACCCGTATAATGCTGAGATATTTGCAAAACTCCGGACCGTTGGTGTCTGCGGAGGGGAACGAACGCTATTGTCCTTTCCGGGGAGTAGCGCGTTCACCACCACACCATGCGGGCCATTCGTTTCGCCTGTCTCTCAGCTAGTTCTATCGATCTTTTGCCATCAGCAATCACTCGTCAACAGGATTGATCTGGGGAGCCCAAATCGGCATTGAATCCTGTTAGACTGTGGCTATAGTTATAATTACAATCTTAACCTTTTTATTTACTGCCTATTCTTTTTAATGGCAGGGTATGTTGCGAAATATAACTCATATAATGATGGCAAAAGATCGATAGAACTAGCTGAGAGAAAGTTCGAAACGAAGGAACCGCATGGTGTGGTGGTGAACGCGCTACTCTCCGGAAAGGAGAATAGCGCGTTCGTTCCCCACTGCAGACACCTGCGCTTTGAAGTTTTGCAATTATCTCAGAATTTTACGAGTTATATTTCGCAACATACCCTGCCATTAAAAGAATAGGCAGTAAACAAAAAGGTTGAGAATATGAAGACCGTAGCAAGAGTATCCTGTAACTTCAGAGAAATGAATTCTTGCCAAAGTTGGAAACTAACAACTAGATGGGAATTATAAGCAACCTGTGCATTCATATCCTCTGAATCTTCTGTGGTCTCGTATGCAATAAACAGGATCGCTAATGACTTGCCGAACTACTGCTCAAATCATCGTAAGGATCGATTTTGGAACAACTTGATTGCTCCGTCGGCATCTGAATAACAGAAGAATTCCATATTCAACGCGAATAACGTCCAACACAATAAACACGCGATTCCGGGAGCCGTTATTGATTTGCGAAAGAAAAATGCGAACTAGGCGAGTCCCATTTTGAGCTGAACTGCAAATGGGTGGAGAATTTAACTGTTTTTAATACGCTATGTTTATGAAAGCAATAGACCTTGTTCAGCGAGTGATTTCTAGCCAGTTAAACGCGAAGCTATGCGGCAGATCTTATGGCAGTAGATGTATATTGGGCTTGAACCAAAAACGAACCTATACCGCTTTTCTCGGCGACACGTAGGTGATGCCGAATGTGAGCTATCCGATTTTGCATTACCGTCTCTATGAACACACAGATATTCGTGCAGTGAAGTGCTGGTGTGCTTGCAGATTTGCACCATGTATCCTGAGCGCTTGTAGCGCAGTGATCGAAGGCGCCTTGCAGTACACATGGGATCAATCCAGGCACCTTGGCAATGCCGATATGCATCCACCTGCAACGATCCTTAATGAAGTCGAATGCATGGCGGATCGATAAGGATTTGATCAACGCCGAGAGCTTTATCCTCTAGCCTTTTATCCTTTGTCTTGAATGTCGATTCGGTCAAGCTTGCAATGGCTCGAAGTGGCCTCCAGCAAAATAAGCTTCGTATCTACTTTGGGGAAGCTACTCATTGCTATGTTGACATCCACAGTTTAATCTGGCAAATCATTCCTGGGTAGTTTTTGCTAAAAGCAGCATAAATAAAGGATCTCATTTCCCTGAACCTGGATGCATCACTGTTAGGTAAAACGAGAATGTAGAATCTCTAGGCCATTCTAGTTGAATAAGTCAGCAAGAGCTACATGGTTATTTTCTACGATAACAGCGCACGCACTGTATTGTGCATCTGATGGTGCAAGCCAAGATCAAGCACGACATTATTGGCTGTTCCTTTCCATTCCAGCATTCGACTCTGATCTAATGCAGCTGATTTCTACATCATTTTAGAAGAATAAATACGTCGTTTCAACGGTTTTCCAATCAATACGGAACATAAGTATGGACACATTGTTGCAAAAAAAGGACCAACACGACATCGGCAGCTATCACACTGTCTGTTGTCTGTCATATAGAAGCTATTTACTCTTGCAACATAGAATTGACAGAATATAAGATGAAGAACAGCCATTGCAGCAAAAAAGGCTCCGAAAACGATTCATTACGCTGACTATATCGATAGACTAATGCAGCTTAATGAGCTATCACGAAGGTACAGGATGACCATTTCCCGCGCTTTTGTCAACAAGTGACGATCGAGTTCGCTGAGCTAGGAGCGGCTACAGGCGCTCTGGACACCAAGACGACATTCCCCAGTGCGTAAGGTAAACAAAAAGAGACGGAGTTAGTGATTCTGAGGGTAATTCTGAGCCAGTTGATAATCGCCGGGATGAAGAACTACCCAATTGGCTGTATCTACCTGCATCCACTAGAAAGTTTATTGATGTTTAATTATGTTACTACGTTTTCGCACTACTTTGCACTACCGTTTTACTCGTAGTATTCAGGCAAACCTGTAGTTTCACGCAAAGTATTTGTACTTGATATATGATCTTCACAAATGTTTCAGAATGGCTATGGATGGGGAACAGAGAGCGGCGTACACGTAGATGTGAATTCGCAAGAAGACGTAAATATAGCAATATTTCGCGAGAATCACCTGCAGAATTCTCGATTGAAACGGTTTCTAGAGACCGCTAGTCAGGTTACTCTCGGAAGCTTTATTACTAAATATCTCGAAAATTCGAGATTTGCTTCGACACGGCTAAGAAATGGTTGAATAGGAATATAAGTGTTTGTACTGCTGCTCTTACACGAGCTTGACAGAGATGTTTATTCGGTGAACGTTTCGGCATCTTCGTCTTCATCAGAGCCGACGATCCGAGTCCGTGGTCCACAGTTGTTCTTCTTCTCGATATGGCGCCTTCGCTTCGCATCGAACTGGATCTTCCTCAGTTGAACATCTCGAATAAGCCGAGTACACCCGACGATGCTTTTTTATGAAATATGAGAATCTAAAATTTGGAACGATTCCAAGGAAAAGTTGCGCAAAAACTCAAATCGTGGTGATATGAAGTGGACCGATTCGATTTGTCGACCTCTTTACTTGAGGAGTAGAAGTGACGTAGTGCTTAAATAAGTTTTTTCTTCCAAGAAGCACACTGTTCGATCTTGTCTCTTCTTCTTGCCATCACCGTACGCACACAATATTAAAATTTTTTAAGCACTGGACTTATCCTTAGGTTTATGGCGTACTTTCATGATTTTCCGTAAAGAAAGATTAGGGAAGTTGAAATTTCTTTGGATATCACCTTTTTGACAATGGAACTAGGAAAGACCAGCACTGAAGTTGTTCAAAAAGTTCTCGTCGACTCTTACGCGATCTCTGTTCGATGCATTGTAGAGCATGCGTTCTCGAGGAATTCTCATAAAGGTATTTCAAAACTTTTGCAATGGAATTTCGCGCGCTTCGACGTAAGGTAGAAGAACATCTAAGAGGGATTATGTATGAGTTGCAAAGGCACTTGGTTCTCTCCACTTCACGAAAAAGCGAACCTACTTGCATATATGCCTGTCTCGGTCGCATCTCCACCAGTCGTTGAAGGCGAATACGAGGTGATCGAGTGTCGCTCAGCTAGTTGCTGCTGCTGCGCCTTTAGAAGAATGAGTAGGTCATGTACCAGATGACTGAAATGAGAACTATCCAAATTGGGTGCGTCTTCCGGCTGACACGAGATAAAAGCCATCCGGGGGGCGAAAATCGAATGGGCAATTCCCGAGATCGACTTTCTATTAACCTCAGCATTGGATTGTAAATAAGTCGCTTTCTTTTCCAGTAATCGCGAGATTTTTATGCAGCACACGTTTACTTTCGTGCAAAAAATATCACATAGAACACAACTGTAGCTGACGTTTCGGCAGTATCTCCTTTTTCACAGCCGTTTTTTATGCAACTCTGATCAGCTGTTCTTCTTCACTGGAAGGTACCTAAAAACGACGCTGAGGAAGGCGATACTGTCAAAGCATTAGCTATTGTTGTGTAACATGTGTTTCTCATACGAGTGGGCATTCCTTTTATACCGTTAATGAGACTGTAGACTGAGACTGGAAACTGCAGTGGATCAACAACAGGGGATAGGCGTGGGCGCTTGAGCCAATTGGATTCGTGTTTTGACTTGTGACGAAGAAGTAGACAATGCAGCCGTGGTTAATCGTTCAGTAGTAGCTGACGACACTGGTTACCAAGCGATTCAACATTCTACCTGTACCAAAGATCAGTTACCTAATTTTTGGCGTTTGTGAGTTTTAAACGAGAGGCTAAGCGGCAAGCATTTCATCAGCTTCGTAAACCGAAAACCACCACTCGAGTCGTTCTTCGTTCAGCAGCTACTGCTGTTGGCAACTACGAGATAAGTAATCAATTTCTACCTCTACGTTGTGCTCAAGCAAGGAATTTACGTGATAATTGCATTGTAGATTAAAGTCTTGTCGAAACAAAGCCAAAGAACAAAAAGTGCGTGAAAAGGTCGATTATTTCGATACTAAGCCAACAAGACACTTCTCATTCATGCTTTATATCCAGGTCGTAATCGATTTGATTTCCGCCCGGCGGAGGTTATCAATGGAAATTGAAATGAGTAATAAGAGTACATATCCGTTCAGCTCTGGCTTCAACACTTTTGAACTCGGACCACTCGCTCAGTGTTAGTCATTTTCATACATTGCCTGTAATCCTCTTAATTATCGAATGGTTCTGATGGGTGGAAGTAACTCGTCTTTTGTTTCTTGTCACGACAAAGCTGCTTTTGGTCTATTATAGCTCAAAGAACGTGAAAACTATTTTACGAGACCCTTTATTTTTAGTGTTTTTGACGAGGATACACCGATGAATGGCTTATAAAACTTATTTTCATTTAACTCTAATATGGATAATTAGTAAACGAATAGGTACGATATTGTAACAACCATAAACTAGCTTATCGATGGAAGAAATTGCCAGAGAGGATCACAGGGCCCATTTCTTCTGTTTGCTTGGCTTTCGATATCCACGTATAGCATGCTGAGTTCTAAACATAGCTGCTGGATACGATCAAGGACTGCTTGTTGGGGTTTCATAGGGCTTATTCATTGGGCGCACTTTGACCCATCTCTCATGGGTTCCCAAGGATTGCAACGTTTTTGGTGAATTGATTCTAGAATAAAATCCGTATGCACGTAAAAATATTCACTCAAATGTGCGTGGATACGATCAAGTGCATCCAAAAGGTATGAGGCAGTGCTCCGGGTCGTCAAAAACAAGGAGCTTACCTCCTCAATCAAATTGCATCTTCAAGTAAGTATATGATGGCTTTTGATCCTTCCACTTGGACCCGGCGCTATATAATCTCGCTATTATTCCGTTCGAAAGCGCTCATATATGTAGGAAAAATTCGTGGTCATTTCTTCGCTTTCGTTCAGAAAAATGACAAAAGTTTGTTACGTAAAGGCAGTCAATAGTCAAATGTGCGAGGTCGCATCAACAAGCGTTGAATAGTCCTCCGATGAAGCATTCTAGACTTCAGATCTACATGTTCTTGGTTGTCTCATTATTACCAGTAGCAGAGTGAGTTTTCTGTGCAGATGAGATTTTTATTTTAGCAAGTCGGGTGACAACAATCACCTTTAATCCGAACGAGCCAGATCTAATCTTGGTTGGCTTTTTTGTGGAAGAATCACTAGCCGAAGATATTGTGAATCGGACGCTTCTCGTAGAATACTTCATGGAAAATGACCGGCCTCCGAAAAGGTTTCTATTTGGAAGATAATTTCGACTTGTAAATACTCCGTAATCTCATTTTGAGATCTTCTAAACAATTCTGTTTGAAGAAAAATGTCTCAAGTGAGCAAATACGAAACCGATCAATTAATGATAATGGTGCTTTCCAGGGATTCTATCGCAAAAGCTTTATATAACAACTTCCAGCGGTTCCGTTGCTTTCCTTGTTTGAGAGCTTCAAGCTTTGTTTAGAATTAAATTTGAAAAAGATGAAATCTCGACAAATAAAAAAGTATTACAAGTCATTTCTTTTCTCGAGTAAGAGTTCGACTGCAAAAGAAGTGGTTTGTGTGATTTAAAAACAGATCCACCTATCTTGTTTGTAGTCTACATAGAGGGTTCTTTCTTTTCATGGACCCTCTTCTCTCAACTGGTCTTCTCAAAATATCATTGACCGTTTCCATAAGATGACATGTCCGCCTTTTATTCTCACTAAGTTTCTGTTCCTGTTATAAGGAATTTCATTGCGAGCATGGTGCTAGTTCGATTCTGCTCCAGACCAACCAACCCTCTCATCCCGCCGGGGTCGGGAAATTGGTACCGGACTTGTCTGGGAAAACATCACTCTCTGCAATCCAGTTGTGAACACTGCGGGCGGCTATCTCAGGAATCCAGAGAGAATTGGTCGACCTACGACTACGACGTTTAAGATGAGGTGAAAATCCTCAGGCAGTAACCGAAGCCACACGTAAAGCTAGAAGATCTTCGTGGAAAATAGATGCGAGAAACCGGAATGAATATGAAAAGTGCTGAGATCAGTCCAGTAGATGTGAAGACAGGTCAAGTCAAATAAATTAAAAAATTTCTATTCCACTCCATGGCGGAAATAGGGCTTTTTTGTTCGTGTTCTTCGGCATTACTACCACTGTGCTATCCGCTACATAGCGTGGGGAAAAAGTGTTCTTATTAAATGAAATGCACCACACTATGTATTGTCGTTTAGGCTGTTTTCTTCCGAAGGAGAAGTAACATCTACCTGTTACACCAATGACAACACCACTCTAATAGCCGGTGTAGTGAGTTTTACTATTTGAAAGGAATTCACTTGCAGTGTGAAATGTGAGGATATAGCCTGAAATATGAGTATTGAATAATGTGAACCTTCAGAGCGATGGCGTAGTTGAAGTGTATGATTTGCTTGAACCGTCAACTACGTTTTCATATTCACTACCTTGGATAGGTATGTGTTCTGAGACACATTTGCACGCATGTATGCATTTATGTGTTTAGAAGTTCGACTTCGGTGAAGTTATTGGCTTTAGTTCTTTTTCAAATAAGAAAGAAGAAAATTTTAAGTGTGCAACCTTGTATAAGACTTGTGAAGCGTGAAAATAGTAAGGTACTTGGACAGCCCTGTCAGTCGAGTGGAGCTGGCAGATTTTCCTTTGAGCTTCGTGCGGTCAACATCTGTATCATTGGTTCGTTTCAAATTTGATTATAGTGTCATTCCACAAATTTTCGAGATATTACTTTAAGTGAGTCGGAACACCCCTCCCCTACTTTCATAAGTGGGCACCATAGAGGACGCTACCTGTCTCATTCTTTTCACCCATCTTGTCAGTTCTTCTCATACACGTTCGTCGCACGTGTTTTCCTTCTATGAATGATATGATTCAGAAACGATTGTCGATTTTGACCGTTCTCTTGCCAACGACACGGGAACTTGCTTCCTTTATTGACTTAGAGTACTGAAATTTTAGGTGCGACAAATTCCTCGAGTGCATTTTCATTAGTGGATTTCCCATTTCTTGCTGAATATTTTTTCTCAGATGTATTTTTCATTTGAAACGAACATGAAAAGTGGTAATCGATTGCTAAGAAGCCTTGTAAATATGGTGGTTGACGCAGATATGCCTACACGGAATTGTTCGGCTCCTACAGCTTTCCTCGCAACAGTTTACCACCTCATCGTGGCTGGGAGGTGTTCCTGGGTGTCGCACTACGTTCTACAGCGGGTGGATTTGTCTCCCGATAGGGTCTCTCAAGGTGAGAAGCAGTACGACGTTTTCATCAGGAAACCTAGCTAAGAGTAAACTAATGCCAGGACCCACTACCGCTTTGGTATCGAAATCGTATGGTGGCCAAACTCCCTATGATCCACAACCGCCTGCGACTGCCTATGCTAGTGACGACCTGGGGCAGACTTTGGTCAAGCTGACCTCGGGACTCCAAGGAGCCACAATGGCTAGACTAGCAAAACTCAAAAAAAACAGAAGTTATGCTGGGGCCCGCACAACCAGTGAAGACGGGCCATCCAAGTATCAAAATAAGTATCCTATAGCGTTATTTGCGAAGGACATTATTGAGCGCTGTCTTGCAAGAGAACCATACTTTGTTTATTGTCTAGTTCACGATACGATTCTTTTCTAACTCCCACGTATTTCGTTGTGTCAGTGCTGCTGCTACTATTTTTTAAAAATTCAAAAATTGATGGTGTGTTACTCCACATGCAGTCAACCGAACGTTCATCGTTACATTCTCTGTGCAAATTCGGTTTTGGAGAGCGCCTAGGGCCTTCATTTTTGTTCAAAGGCCGTGCTGAGCATCACCGGCTGCTCCATAAAATCCATGATTCAGTGGGACAATATTATCGAGAAGGGGCTCGTTTTTGTATAGAAGAGTCGCTAAGCAGCTTTGATTAACACTATTTTAGCTCATCATCTTGTCCGTGTGGTAACATACTCCAATTTGTTTTTGTGTTTCGCAGCGTTTTTTATTGCTGTGTTTCTCAAACGGCCAAGTGTAGCTAACTGTTTGGCTAAAACTTTATCAGAAACCTGTCCAATAGTTTTTTGATGCTGTTATCGAAGACTACCTTCAGATAGTCGTCCTGAACTACTAGTGGATACTCAGGAACTTATTTCTCATGGAGAGCTATGTCTCACCTCTCAACTGTAACCCTGTAAAATCGACTACGAATAAATAATTCTGCGTTGATCTATCTCCCTAGATAAGATATGCGTTCGGCTCTATTAAGCATCGCAGAGGTCAACGCATATTTCATTTTAACAATTACTTGTCGAGGCCTGGATATGTAGCAATTCACTGTTTTCATCTTCCCAGACAAGTGATGTCAATTTGTCGGCCCCGTAAGTGTATAGAGAGCTTGGCTTGCCTTGAGATGGAACCAACGGCTCTGTTTTTATAATCTTAGGGCGCCCCTAACCACTGCGTTACATGTCAAGCTCTCTCACGTCAACCTTTCTCACCTGTTGCCGTCGCTGAGTAACTGAAGTAAACACTATTATACCCTATTCCTATCCGTCATACTCAGATCAGCACCCTTCAATGACTACAGTGGACACAGGATTACATCTTTGATGCGATGTCCTTTTTCTCATTGTTTTTGCAGGATTTGAAACGTTGAGGATAGACTGCTACTTGGACAACGATGATTCCTGGCATTGGGCTATTCTTTGCTAGATTTCACTGAATGGAGGTGTCAAATTTTTCTCCAAATTAGGGCACTTTCCTGGATGAACCCTCCAAACACGATTTTACAGTACACCTAGAAACACCGCTCAATTACTATGAGGAGGAAACCGCTAGGAGCATACTTTCAGTGCGAAACTTTTTGAACTATCTGTGGATTGTCCATTTGGAGGCGTTTCGAATCATTTCAACCGCTCTACAATTAATTTAAACTAACCGTTGTAAAAGTATTACAGGACAGGCAATCAGGACCTCAGTAGGCTCAGAGATGGATAACTTTAGCAATACAACCAATAAGTGATGGTTGTATAATGCATTGGCAGAGTCGGAAAAGAAAAAAGGCTATTGTTTTTAAACCAAGGTAAAGTCCAGCTCCAACTGCAGGGCAGCACAAAAATCTCCCGCCGAGATGGTGCTGCTGCCTTGTCATTTCCCGCCTATCGTGGAGATGCTAAGGGATCTATGGAAACGCCACTTTTTTGTGATGTATTGATGTGATGATTGTGGTAGAAGTCGACCAGAATTCCCATACACGCTGAGTACACTCTTTAGTTGCTAGACACTAATCAGGTGGCATTACTTTCGACATTATCGAATGTATTCTGTTGTAGAGAAAAGCTATGAATTGCGCCCCCCTTTTCAATTGATTTCTATGACATTGACTATGGGATTGATTTGGTCCACATAGCAGATTCCCTGTTAAAATACTGCTTCACCCAGCATCCTTTTTTTCTTGAAGCTCTTAATAGTCTAAGAATAGAGGGCTGATCACAGACAACAAACAGTGGCCGAGGCAGAATGAAACTAGCCAAAGAAAAAAAAATGAACGATCTATTGGAGGTAGCACGACTCTTGAAGGCGGGCTGTCTATATATCTCTCTATACATTTATATGTTTTATGAGACTTTAATGGTCTACCGCACAAAGTGGAAACCCTCGATTCAATTTGCAAAATACTGCGCTGCCTCTGATGATCAATTAGAGCGTATTAACACAGGTTTTTGGGGTTCCAGAAAAAACATTTTGTTTAACTGGCATCTTGAGAGCTGGATAGAAAGTGCTGTCAGTTCCCACTATTTTAGGTGATTTTTCTACACGTCTTCTATTCTACGTATACTGTGCGGTTCCCAGTATTTCTTGCATTGCACTCCTTAACTCGCATCCACCATCCACGAAAGTCTTTGAAACTTTCTGCGTATTGGTGTGGCTGCTGCGTGAGGATTGTCGTCTTCTTTATGAATGTCTTTGAATGCCGGCCAAATCGATTCTCCCTGGAATCCTGAGATAGCTGCTCTAGATTATTCCCACTAGGATTGCAGAAAGTGAACTGTTTACAGTAAGTCTGATACCAATTTCCCAACTCCGGAGAGAAAAGACTTGTTGAGCCCGCAGCGAAGTTGAACGAGCACTGTGTTCATGGTGATCCGCATCACTACCACTATGTCTCACTCCACCTACCTTCGTTAATTTGACATTTCAGACAACATTAAGCATTCCCAACCACTCATAGCACGCCCATCACGATTGTGTAAAAGCGCGGTCATGTGCACATTGCACATAAGAATCATTGAGGTACTCTAAAACAACAGCTTTTAGCAACTGAAGCTGATTTAATCGCGGATCCATTCTGTTGGCCTACACGTGACAAAGCGCATCCAATTCAATACGTACATGCCCAAAAATAATCCAGTTTTTCGGCATGTTTCGCCTAGTGGTCAACTTCCATTGATTTAGAGGAGAGCCATTACAATGTAGAGAACTCTGCTTACGCAACTAAAGTTTTCTTTCTCTAGCACGGTGAAATAGAAATTGTTTGGACATACAAGTCACAAGTTGTTTCCCTTTCCATTTATGTTTATTCTAGACTCATTTTTCAAAAGGAGTGATTGAACAGGCGGTGTTTCGTTTAACTCACTGATGTGCTCCCATCAAGAACTTTAGAGCCCGTAACGTTTTTTTCGGATTTTTTCCTGAAATTTTCGATTCTGGGCGAATTTAAAGCTTAAATAGTGTTTCGGAAGTTTTATGCATACCGTTGAGCAATAAACAAAGTCTTTCCCATGGGCATATCAAGTTCGCAAACTATCAAGCAAGCTTCGTCACAAGATTTCCAACATATGATTAAAGACGAATCTCCCAAAAATTCTGGTTAATTAACCGAGAACTGTATCGATTGGGCAAGACAAGGATCTTAATGCTTACTGTTAAGAAGCTGAAGAAGCTGAAAGAAACGTATTCAACACCTACTATAAAAGCTTTCGTCATTATCGGTTCAACTCGGAAGACATGTTCGGAAGTCGGAAGATAGTGAAGCGGTCACGATACCGTTCAATACGCACAAGCTTCTGTTACGATCCTTTCCTAGGTCAACCAAGCACCCTTTCTACCAGTGGTTGGGTTCACGAAAGCTCCATACACGAACGAAGCTCCCTACGGAAATTTGATAACATTTGATGGCAGACGTAGAACAACGAGTCGAATGAGTGAAGTACTGGAATTGACACAATATTTGATATTGCGTCATATAGCATAACTAAATAAAAAATTACTCAAAGGACCAACTTTCTATAAACGTCGGCATAGATAGTTGATATATTTATTTATATGATCTTATAAACTGATCCTCTTAAGCTGACGCAAGGTTGGTGCAGGTCTTCGTTGTCGTTGTTGTTGTTGTTGATGTTATTGGTCGATGGGTGACGTTTCGGCGACTTCGTCTTCCTCACAACCTCGACGTATTTTATATTAGAATAGTTTTATTATTCGGTGAAAAAAAGGTTAAAGTATTAATGAAGATCAAACCTTTAAATAGACGCCATATTCAACAGAAAGGCCGCTCACCGTGATGTTGCGTGTAGGACGGACTGGCCCACACGTTGTACACTTGCGATCGCGAGCAAGACGCACCCCGTGGTCAAAATATCATTCTGAAATAGGGCGCCACGTCACTTGTGACAGTGAGACATTCGTCTTTCCGGTTCATCTTTGGATTTTTGAAATTTATCCAAAATACCACAAGTGTTTTGCGCGTTGGTGTTTTCGATTCCTGCGCTAGCATCCGCACAGTCACTTCAAAATCTTCGCCGTTGTGCTTTTGTGCCCTATGCTTTCCCTAGAGGAGTGTTTAGACGGATTTTAGCTTTCCCATCTCGATGTTCTTTTATGCGGACACAAAGTGGTCTACCCGTTTCCCCAATATATACCTCACCGCATGCGTTACATGAGATCAAGCATATTGTACCTAAACTCATGCAATCCCCGTCTCTCCCGTTAGGACAGATCATACAGTTTTCTGAGCTGTACAAACGATCATAGAGACGGTTTCGAACTAACTGGCGGCGTAGGGTATTGGGTGGGATATCAATAATCGTCACATAATTTTCATGACCATTTTTTCTTAAGCACCTCTTATTGGCGTGACTTACTTTATTTGATACGAAGGGTAGCTTAAAGAGGATATTACTTGCGCCCGGGACATTATTTTTGGGAACAACCCTACGTTTTCCTCTAACCCGAGTGGCTTGTGCTTCGTAGCCATTGGAAATGGCAATTTTTTGTGCTAGGTTTTACGATTCCTTCCTTTCTTCTTATCCTGTACACACATTTTTAGCCGTACAGTACATGTTTTTGATAAGTGCCTTTCTTTATGTGTGAAAGATGAGAGGAGAGGTAGTGAACTAGAATGTTTTCACTGCTTGGCTTGCGATACCATTTTGTTATATAGCCATTTACTGAGAGCTTTATTTGGATGTTTAAGAATGGAAGCCAATTCTCGGTTGGTCTTTTCGTGTAAATTTTATATATTCTGACTGTCGGTTTAACAATTCAAAGCACTCATCCATCTGTTCCTGTGTAGAAGTCGTCTATGCATCGACAGTAGAGTAAAGGTCAGTGATCGAGAACTAGAGCTTCCACTTTTCTGTTCAATATGGCGTCTATGCAAAAGTTGGATCTTCATTAATACTTTAACCTTTTTCCACCGAATAATAAAAATATCGTAATACAAAATATGTCCGGGCTCTGAGGAAGGCGAAGTCGCCGAAACGTCACCCATCGACCCATAACATCAACAGCAACAACAACGACAACGAAGACCTGTACCAACCTTGCGTCAGCTTAAGAAGATCAGTTTATAAGATCACACAAATAAAAAATTACTGATTTTCATGGGAAATTCTTAAACTAAAAGTCATAGGTTGGTCAACATAGAGGTTTTAATGTAGTCTTAGTACTAGGTAAATGCGAACCTAACTCTATTGCTTTCTTTCCAGACAGCCCCAGCAATATTCCTCTTCGGTCACCTGCGTATGACTCTTCTTTTCTCAGTTCCACTCTATCTGATGGTAAAGCGCATCCGATCATAGACGTACAGGTTATGGAATATGAACTCCAGTGAGAAGAAATACTTTTATTCAACTGTTTCGAATATTAAATACCTTTGAAATAGTGCGAATTCTATACCGATTGCACCGCACAGGTCCGCTATGTCATCTGGCCGATATATTTACATTGGTGCGAAATCGCTAGCATATTTTGATAGGCAACTTTGAGATGCTATGACTGGCCTCAAACACAACTTCGTTAATAAAGGTGGTCATCGTTAGAGTCCATATGTCATTTTCGGTGAAAACAAGTTCCCTTGCGATTCTTAAGAAGGCTAAATTTATGGACGCTTCCTTCAGGTGTGTTTTTAAGGGCGGTTTTAAGGTGTAATCATTTTTCTGCGTAGGTATTTGTAGTGCAGTACGAATTAGTCGTTGCCGGCTGTCGAGAGCTCCATACAACTGGATGGCGAATAATTTCGCATTGGAATTCGTTCGTCCGCAGCGCTGGTTGTACGACGTGTGGTCCATCGTTGTCGTGCGAGAGAATTAGATCCTTTCTAATGACACGTGCTGAGTAAACACGGCGGACTTTTGAACTATTTCATCTGTTAAACGCCCCCATAGCATTCTGGTACAAATGGACTTTTTAGAAGTGTTTAGACCCTCTATCTCTTTCATCCGCTTCGCTGAATGTCGTCGTTCTCATATAATGTGCAACTTTCATCGACCACCTAAGTGCTATGGAGAAATTAGTCCGTTTTGATACGAAAAGCAACACAGAGGTGAAACTGCTCTGTTAGGATAAACGGAGATAAGACCATATTGGCAATTCCTTTCTATTCATTCCACCGGCATGCATCCATTTACCGAAATTTTTCACTCTTCCAATGTCTTGCAGATGACGAACGACGGTTATGGTTATGTTTTTGGAGAGCTCTCGAGTAGTTTCAGGGTGGTCATCTTCGTTTATTGCCTTCAGATAGTCGTCATCAACTGCTTGTGAGGACGAAGAACGTTCTTCATGATGATCTAAATCTTGTACTTGTAAGGCGAGACCTATCATTGTCAATTGCTGATGGACACCCGCAACCATCTTCGCCACCTGCGCATACGAGAGCGCTTCCTTTCCTCATGACATTCATGTCCACCTATTAAATTACGACAGCACGATTTCCTATGCAAATAGTTGGGCAAGAAGTAGGCTTTGAAATGTATCCAAAGGATATTTCTTACAAAATATATTTGTGAAACGCTTCATATCAAAATCTGCCGCTGTTTTGCATCAATGTGATATCTCGTTTCCACAAGTTCATCTCATGCTTGGATAATCAATCAATACTGTTTTTCCCTCCAAAAACTGATATATTTATCAACTTTAGCATGGAAGTGCATTGTAAATAACGTCAATTAAAGACTTTCTCTGCCGGTTGTGAGCGGCCTAACTGGAAACTCAGGGTCACTTCATGGCTTTCTTTACGTAGCTGGATTCTCTGTACGAAACTTTGTTCCTATAATGATTTTGTGTTCAGATCTTTCTGTCAAGTAGCTTCCCTTGATCAATCTGGAACGATTAGCTTATGGACTGTTCTACGTAACTCTCAAGGCCAACCAGGTGTTAGACCTCAATCTCATCTTTCCTTACAGCTTCTCGCTTTGATTCGACCGGACCCTTTTGTTATGAGGTATATAGTGCCTATCGCTTTACATTTTTTAAAAAAATTCTTGCATTAAACAAAAATATATAAATTACAGTATAGATTAAAAAGCATATTCGATGCGATCGATAGAGCGAGAAACACAACTTAGATGTGTTCTTGTTGGTGGAATTAGAGCTATCGTTATCGGTATTAGTGTCGTGAACTGTTACTGGTTGAGATGCGGGAAATATGCATGCTGCAAGTTGCTGCCATTATCAGCTAGATTGGCACTGGTGCATTTTGCTTAGCGCCGATGTCACAGTGTGCAAATGTGAGATGTCAGTGCTGTGGGCCTTCTAAATACTCGTAGCTTTCTAGGTTATCTTCTCAACCAACGCCGCTCCTCGCCACTTGTATGGTAACCCGTTCTCACCCGCCTTTATTTCTAGTAGGTATGTTGCATTATGCATTAGGTAGTGTTTCCCAATAAGAATACTAACGCCACTTCAGTGACTGATTGCGTAAACAACTTGAGTGCCCCTTTTGACATATGTACGAATCGTTTGTGCAGAACCCACAGGCATATAAATTAGCCCCGTAGATCCCACTCTAATGAATTTAGGGTTACCGAAATTTTTCACTCTTTCACTTTCGCAAAAGAGCTTTGCCGTCATTTTCTTTTCTTGAAGACTGATCGACAAATTAGTGCTTCCCTAAGAATGCGTATTAGGTCAGGTCGCCCTTAAAGATAATCTTAGAACCACTAACATATTAAGCTTAAAACCTGTGAAGTTGTCCAGTGTAACGCAATAAAAGACTTCTGCTGAGCGGTTTACGCGTTTTTAGCGCTGTGGTTAGTGGTCCCACACAATACACGCTGGAATCACTCCAATCCATCTCATTTTGATAATTCATGGCAGCTCTGACACGTAAGGGAGACGAATAAAAAAATTTATAGGTGTTCGCTCCGTTTACTCAATATTTGATGGAATAACAGATGATAAGGTAACTGAATTTTTATAGAATTCTCATTAACACTCCTTGGCAAGCACCGGAACTCTCTTCATCCAATGTCTACGTTACTTAGTAGGCTTCAGGATACTCCAGTTTGTTTGTTGAGTCGCTCTCCCTTAAGCGTCATGTACTTCCACTAATAGTAATCAGTTTCCATTTCCACCTCTCTAAATGTTGCCATGCTAAAAACTGTGAAATAAAAGGATAAAGCTCTCGTCGTTGATCAATCCCTGAGGGATGCGCCATGCATTCAACTTCATTAAGCATCGTTTGGAAGTGACAGGATGCATATCTGGCCTTTACAATGACTCGCAGTGGCCTACCGTTGTTTCGAACCAGTGCTACTATCCTCCCAGACAAGTCAGGGACCAATTTGCCGAGCTCGGAGGGATGGAAGGTTTGGTGAGCCAAGAGCGCGGGGATTGATTTTACGTGTGTGTTGCAGGGCGCCTCTGACCACTGCATCACACGCACCCCTAAAAGCGGATCTTTAAATAACAACGAGAAATGCATACTGCAATGTTTGCTTTTCGTCTAATTAAGCAGTTCTTGAACAGCCAAAGCAGTCAAGTGATGGTGAGAATGCTTAAAAAACGTGTACCACATGAAGTCACTAATGGAAATTTACTGAGGCAACATGCTCCTATCTGACTGTCACTCGAGTAAACATATCGGCTGAGAAAATGCAGCATGTCAGGTACCGATGCCGGCGTTCTATGCAGTCTTTCACGAACGAAAACGGCATCTCACAAGGGTCCACGTCTCATCCATACCAACATGAGTTAATACTTTTTGGTTGTCAGTCTTTTAATTCTGATTACTTTTTTAAAATCTCTGTTCTATAGGTTTCAAAGGAGTGCATGGTGAAGTGCTTTGTGCAAGAATGTCACCTTTCGAAGGGTCATTGATTCTTGTGAGTTTTTCCGGAAGAAAGTGCTATACATGTCGACCTTTTTATCCCAGAATAAAGTTATGCTTGAGGTATATTGGATAAGTGAGTGAGACTTAATTTCTTACCCGAAGTAGAAGGGACTTTACAGATCAACTCCGTTATGCTCATTTAAAACATAACTTGATGCGGCTGATTAAGGTTGGTTTATCAACGGGTTCTTTGGCCGTGTACAGCATCGGTCATCTTAATCCAATTGTTGTGCTCACGCCTCCTATTAGCTCACAAAAACCAGCAATTTCTGTTGAATGGTCACCGATGTGGGTTTGTTTCTGGATACGTAGGCCTGTCGTGGAATTCGCTTGAAGTTTATCATTTGTATTCAGAGCATCAACTGTTCTCTACTCTCTTCATGGACACATAAGGCTGCTCGTTTGGGATCTCTCTAAGGGGCTTGTACCACAAGGAGTACATGATTTATCGCAGCAGGTATAGTGAGGATTTCTACAACGTTTAAAAATCACTGATAATCACAATTTCTGTCAGAAGACGCCGACGTAGTCATTAGGCGCCGTTTAGTCGCATTTTACCGGATATTTAGAGACGTTTTATATTTGATAATTATAGTATGATGGTGCCGACAGTTACTTATTCTGTTATATCAATGACTAATGCATGTTCCAACTCGGATTCTAATTGCTTTTTAGTTATTTATTTATGTAATCTTATAAACTGATCTTCTTAAGCTGACGCGAGGTTGGTACAGATCTTCGTTGTCGTTGTCGTTGTTTAAAAAAATGTTAAAATAAAGCTCTCAGTAAGTGGCTATGTAACAAAATGGTATCGCAAGCCAAATAGTAAAAACATTCTAGTTCACTGCCTCTCCTCTCATCCTTCACACATGAAAAAAGCACTTATCAAAAATATCTATCGTACGGCTAAAAATGTGTGTACAGGAGAACAGGAAGGGAAGGAATCGCGAAGCCCGGCACGAAAAATTGCCATTTCCAATGGCTACGAAGTAGAAGCCACTCGGGTTAGAGGAAATCGTAGGGTAGTTCCCCAAAATAATATTTGGGACGTAAGTAAGATCCCCTTTAAGCTACTTTTCTCATCAAATGAACTAAGTCATGCCATTAAAAAGTGCTTAAGAAAAAGTGGTCTTGAAAATTAGGTAGCGATTATTGACATCCCACCCAATACCCTACGCCGCCAGTTAGTTCGAAACCGTCTCTATGATCGTTTGTGCAGCTCAGAAAACTGTATGATCTGTCCTAACGGGAGAGACGGGGATTGCATGAGTCCAGGTATAATATACTTGATCTCATGTAATGCATGCGGCGAGGAATATATCGGGGAAACGGGTAGACCACTTTGTGTCGGCATGAAAGAGCATCTAGATGGAAAAGCTAAAATTCGTTTAAACACCCCTCTAGGTACGCTTAGGGCACAAAAGCACAACGGCGATGATTTTGAAGTGACTGTGCGGATCCTAGCGCAGGAATCAAAAACATCAACGCGCAAAACTCTTGAGGCGTTTTGGATAAATTTCAAAAATCCAAAGATGAACCGGAAGGACGAATGCCTCACTATCACGCGTGACCTGGCGCCCTATTTCAAAATGATATTTTGACCCCGAGGCGTGTCTTGCTCGCGTAAACTACGTGTCGGCCAGTCCCGCACATAACATCACGGTGAGTGACCTTTCTGTTCAATATGGCGTCTATTTGAAAGTTTGATCTTCATTAATACTTTAACCTTCTTTTCCACTGAATAATAAAAAGTATTCTAACATAAAATACGTCCAAGCTCTGAGGAAGGCGAAGTCGCCGAAACGCCAAACATCGATCAATGACATCAAAAACAACGACAACGACAACGAAGATCTGTAACAACCTCGTGTCAGCTTAAGAAGATCAGTTTATAAGATCACATAAATAAATATATCAACTATCTATGCCGAGGTTTATAGAAAGTCGGTCTTTCGAGTGCTTTTTAGTTAGTTACTATAGTGTAATCTGAAACATGCAAGTGATCATAAGGGGTCTACTTGTTGAGATGCTTAAGTTCCTACCTTAACTACAGTTTCGACTTCGCTACGTTCAATGCCGATTTATGCTGCCCAGATCAATCCTGTTAACGGGTGATTACTGATAGCACCTATAGTTTAAAACTCCGCTGAGAGATAGGCTAAAGAAAGGACCCGCATGATATGATTGTGAAGACGTTAGCCCCCGAAAAGGGTAATAGCTCGTTCGTTCACCACCTCAGACACCTGCGGTCCGGAGTTTTGCAGATATCTCAGCATCATTGTGATTATACTACTTTAAGTGTTCAAAGACGGCAGAATTCGAGAGAGCTATCTGTGAGGAGACTTCTTTTTACGCATGCCGAGATTCAGTGGTTCCTCCACTACTAGGATAAGGTTCAAGGAACCGATCATTGTTGAATAGTGTCTTTTAATCAAGACATATTTTTAAAAAGGTAAGTTTGCATGTCAGGCAGCCTGAATTTTCCCTGCAGTGTATGGACAACAAAGTTCTTTTGCCGCCATGTTCCTACATGATTTGTGGTATCCGAGCTTGAATCGCTGAATTTCTGCAGATGTTTCCACTGCAAACGATGATGGCGTGAAAGAAACTGTCGCCGAAAATTCTCTTTAGGTAATTTGCTTCGATAATAAGCTGTCACCTCTCAACAATTTATCGCTTCATCGTGGCTGGGAGGTGTTCCTGGGTGTACTGCAATGTACAGCGGGAGGATTCGTTCTCATGGCAGGGTCTCCCAAGCTGAGAAGGAGTCCGGCGTTCCCATCAGGAAGCCTAGCTAAGAGTAAACCAATACCAGAATCTATCACCGTCCTGGTATCAAGTCGCATAGTGGTAAATCTCCCTCTGATCCACAAGGGTTGCCAATGTTTGTGGTGGTGAAGACCTGAGGCAGACTTTGGCCAGTCTGACCTCGGAATTCCAGGGAACCACAATGGCTTAACCAGCAAATCACTGAAAAATGGTGGTTGTGCTGGGGCCCACACAACCAGTGAGGACTGGCTAGTCAAGTATCAAGTAAGTAAGTTATATGCAATTAACAAAATATTACTCCAGATCAACCGCAGAAAGTGCCATAGATACACTAGTGCTCTTCACTGACCATCATCAGCCGTTGAAACGACTAAATCCTGCCTCCCACTACGAGATTTTTTGTGTTACAGTGAATCCAAGGGACTATGGATGGGATTTGTTCGCACATTCCCACACACTCACGCCTTTGTACCGTCACACCTCTCAATCACGACTTCTTCACCACCGATCCCCCAAACCAGTTACGAAAGGATTTTCCAAGTACTCCACAGATTGCAAAAGATCACCACGTAAACCGACCCTCATTTTGTTCAGCGAAGCCTTGTATATCTTTACAGTAGTTTTTTGGAATTTACTTTTAGAAAATCATACAATATTCTAGGTGACTCAATGCCTATTGATGTACTTCTATGCTATAAAATCTGGCTTTCATTCTCTAATTATAGTTAGAGCTCCAAATGATGCCGAGCTTTCAATATCATTATGAATCACATATTTACAAATCATGTGTTTTCATTTTTGTATTTCATACGTTTAAAGGGCGCGTGTAGTGCAGTGGTCGGAGGGGCCCTGCAACAGACACTTGGGATCGATCCCCGCGTCCATGGCCCACCAAGCCTTCCATGCCTCTGTGGTCGGCAAATTGGTACCAAACTTGTTTGGGAGGTTAGCAACACTGGCTCGATACATCAGCAGGCACCACGAGTTATTGTAAAGGCCAGATATGCATTCAGTCACCTCCAAACGATGCTTAATGAAGTCGAATGCATTTTGCATCCTTCAGGGATTGATTAACGCCGAGAACTTTATCCTTAATTTCATTTTATACTGTTTATTTTTCGAAAGTAGTAAACAAATGCTTCCTTTTACTTTACAGACCATGTCGCAAGTCGTGCTGACGCGAATTTGGCTACAAAAAGGCAGCAATCCGTTTGCGAAGGGAATCGCATACATGGTAAAAACGTTTTTTTTCTGTTTTCTTTTAAATTCACTTCAATGAATTTTACTTCTCTATTGAACGCGTTGTCGTTTCGCAGGCGCTAGGTCTGAGTTCGGGAACTGTTGAAGTACACGCCCTTGAAGCAACAGGAGCGAAACACGACGACGACTTGCTGGCCGTCCTAAACGTGCTTAATGATAGGAGATAAAAATCATAAGAACCAAATAATGTTGCTATGAACTGTTTAACAACGATCACTTACTTCATAACAACTCGACTACCCTACGTGATGAGGAGATCGTTAACAACTTAGAAATTCCTCGAAATACGACGAGAATATTCTTAACCTCTACCAAACTTGGTGTGCCCATGGATCATGTGAATTTCGACCTCGTTGATACAGAAACAAAAATTCTAGTAAAAAAAAATTCTAGCATTGGACTCGAGCGCAATCCAACCAGTGACCAAGTATATCGCCGAACAACCGTAACCATTGTGGTAAATACGCATAATAGGCTCGATTTCTCCTTTTTCTATGTCGCTTAACAAGGTTTACTATGAGTTGACAATGAGCCGTGAATTTAAAGTTGAGTGCTAAAAACACAAGTAACCTAAGGCTTTAAAAATTTTCCCGTACTCACCACTAAGCTTGGAATTCTAAACCACAATTTTTAGAAAAAAACATAAATTGCATATATGCATTTGATCCAACATATTTTAACACATTTGACACGGCGTGTGTGGCGCAATGGTCGGAGGTGTCCTGCAATACACGTGGAATCGATCCTCGCGCCCATGGCCCACCAAGCCATCCCTCCGGTGTCGGCACATTGGTACCAGGCTTGTCTGGGAAGATAGCAGCATTGGCTCGATACATCGGTAGGCCACCGCGAGTCACTGTAAAGGCCAGATATGCATCCAATCACCTCCAAACGATGGTTAATGAAGTCGAATTCATGGCGCATCCCTCAGAGATTGCTCAACACCGAAAGCTTTATCCTTTATCCTTCATGCATTTGATTCGTAGAGCAATAGTAGTGATGCCGTCCAGTAGGAACAAGAGTTCGTTATTCCCGCCAAGAGCAAGCAAAGCCTGCATCCCTCTAGGGTCGCGACATTGATACCAGACTTGTCTGAGACCAGCCTGATTTCTCTAATCCAGAAAAGCTAATCTATCCTTCTAAACCCTACTTGGAACCCTGATTACTCGTATTACCGTCTTGAGTACAACATACTATCAGTTATGTTGTGAGTGACTTGTGTAACGAGCTCATGGGCAACAGACAAAACGCATATTGGCCATAGTTGTTTATTTCGGGCAGATGTACTTTATTATGCCACAACCTGGGCCTGTAGGCATTTCATAAACTTGGGACATTGAATTTTGTAGACGTATAGAAAACATTTCCAGTGAGTTAATGATGGCCCATGATATAGTGTTCAAGCATTCAAATCTGATTCCCGTGGGCCTTGGT